ATACACACACACACATACACAAAGAGATCAGCCCAGAACCCTCTCTCTCACACACATACACACACCAGCTCAGAGCTCACTCACAGGGAGTCCCCACTTTTCTCACAGCCTCACCTGGACCCTTCCTGCAATGCCCATAACCCACCGTGCTGCCTCCCAAGCAGACACCTGCCTGGCTCTTGGCTACACATTGCTTTGGCCATGGCGATGTGATGGGGTGAGGGGTGTTCCCTGCACTCACAATTCCGAGCACTCACAAAAGCAGAGAGATGCCAAGGACGTTTGCCATAGCAACCTTAGCTCGGGCCTGTGGTGTCTAAGTATTAGAGAGCCCACGGTTCCTCTGTTGGGTGGAGAGAAACAAGTGCGGGGGTCCACTCAAAGCAAAAGAACCTAGAATTAGCCCACAGTGGGGAAACAAATATTTACCCTGCCAAGTACACTCGAGGGCAGTGCTGTGGGATTCTCATACCAGCTTCCTAGTGCTGGTTTCAAACATGTCATGGGTGCTTAAAGAAGGCAATTGCATCAATATTTAGGCAGGTAAATAAGTGGCCCCATTTCCAGATTTCAGAGTAGCAGCCGTGTTAGTCTGTATCCGCAAAAAGAAGAACAGGAGTACTTGTGGCACCTTAGAGACTAACAAATTTATTAGAGCATAAGCTTTCATGGACTACAGCATCCGAAGAAGTGGGCTGTAGTCCACGAAAGCCCATTTCCAGAGTTGCTGAGCACCCGCAAAATCAGGTGTCTTACTCCAGGCTTAAATGTGCATCTTGGTACCCGCGTTTGGAAATTTCATTATTTTTTGGCATGACTCCAAAGCACAAAGGCCATTGTCATCCCTTACACAGCGCTCTTCATCTTCAAAGCACTTGGCGACCATTTATCATTCCAACAAACCAACGGGGTAGGTAAATATCAGGATCCGGTTTTACAGATGGGGAAACTAAGGCAGAGTGGGTGGAAATGACTTGCCCAAGGCCTCAGAAGGATCAGAGATTAACTCACGAGTTCCTAACCCCCATCTTTGCTCAGATCACTAGACCATCTTAGCCCAGCTCGCCTAATGCCATAAATCCTGGCTCAATTGTAATTTTCTCGTTGTGAGTTTCTAATAGCCTCTGAACATTGTTTGAATGAAATATGTATGGCTGTTGGTGAATATGGAGATAGGGTTGCCCGGTGTCCGGTTTTTAACCAGCACGCCCGGTCGAAAAGGGACCCTGGAGGCTCCAATCAGCATGGCGGACCAGGCCATTAAAAGTGTGATTGGTGGCACAGTGGGGCTGGCAGGCTCCCTGCCCGGCTCCGTGCGGCTCCTGGGAAGCAGCCGGCATGTCCAGCTCCTAGGTGGAGGGGCGGCCGGGGGGCTCCGCGTGCTGCCCCCGCCCACAGGCAGGGTTACCTAGCGTGACTCGCGAGCGCTCCAGCTGGAGATGGCTGTTGAGGGGTCATGGCATGCGACTCTCCTGCTGCTGCCCGCTTCTCCTCGCACTCCTATGGCTGGGCTCCAGCTGCACTGCATGCCCCGGCGGCTACCCCGTGCTCTGTCATCCCATTGCCAGCACCAGGAGTTTGAGGTATCCCCCGTCTCCTTGTGCTGCAAGGGGCTCTGGCAATGGGGCTGCCGTATGGCCTCCCAAAGCCCACTTCCCCTCCCACATCCCAACCCTCTGACCCAGCCCTGAGCCCCCTCCTGCACTCCAAACCCCTTGTCCCCAGCCCTAAGCCCCCTCCTGCACCCCAAACTCCTCATCCCTGGCCCCACCCCAGAGCCCACACCCCCAGCCAGAGCCCTCACCCCTCTCACACCCCAACCCCCAGCCTGGAGCCCCCTTCCACACACTGAACCCTCATTTCTGGTCCCACCCCGGAACCTGCACCCCCCCAGCCCAGAGCCCACACCTCCTCCCACACCCCAAACCCCTAACTCAGCCTGGAGCCCCCTCCCACACTCCGAAACCCTCAGCCCCCCCCACCAGCCCAGTGAAAATGAGCAAGTGAGTGAGGGTGGGGGGGGAGTGTGAGTGACTGAGGGAGGGAGGATGGGGTAAGTGGGGGTGGGGCCTCGGTGAAGGGGCAGGGCCTCAGAGAAGGGGTGGGTTCTGAGGGAAGGGGCGGGGCAAGAGGGTTCGGTTTTCTGCAATTAGAAAGTTGGCAAGCCTAGATTACAGACAGAAGGGTGTGTGTGTGTGTGTGTGTGTGTGTGCACGCACGACTGTATGGCTATGTGTGTATGTGTCACGTGTACATGAAGAGCGAATGTGAATCGGGTCTGTACATGCTGGAGGCTGTACGTACATACAGTATATTGTTTGACACCAGCACCTCTTGTAAATATTACAGACGTTGTTCACTCCAGAAATAACTCAGGTTTTATCAGAACTTGCCAGGAGACTAGGTGAGGCCTAATTCTCATTTACATTAAGGCCCTTTTACACTGAAAGGGACCTTAGTTTAAATGAGAATCAGGCCCTCAGTGTTCCTGAGAACGGCGACGTGTGTGGTTGCGATCGCAATGCTGTCATGCTCCGTGTGTGTGTGACAGTGAGTGGGGGAGTCTGGAATCTGACACACAATTGCCTGTTGGAAGCCAGAGCTGCCGTTTAAGCTTGGTAGCTCTCGGTGGTCCGGGATGAGAGCACGGATGGGTTCAGCTCCATTTGAGCCATAAGACCCCTTGCAACCAACAGAGCTACTGCCTGACAACATTCAGGCTACATCTGCACTGGGAGCTGGGGTGTGATTCATTTGCTGATGCTCTTGGTTTTTCATCGGCTGTTGAGCCTTCCTACCCCCTGAACTACTCTGACCAAGGCCCGGCAGCGGCCTGTCTCTGTGACAGGCAACGGGGGAGAGTGGACGCTGTTAATTAGAAAATAAGACACCTAGGCCCTGTCAAGTCACAGTTCATGAAGTTAAGATTTCATATTCATTAGCTCTGCAGTGCTTGTTCACCTGGACGATGACTCCTTGATTCGTAACCTCACTTCAGGAGGGTTCTAAAACACTACCACATAATCCTACTGCCGCAATAAGCACCCATGGCACCAGAAATGGAGCTAGCAGGATGATGGTCAGAGGTGAGGGAGGGCCAGGTGGACATTGTACCCAGGAGACTCAGCTGTTCATGAGTTTCCAGTCCTGCAGTAAATCCTCAGGCCTTTGGAATTCAGCTGCTTCCTTCGTAGCAAAGGTTTCCTCTCCTTCTCTCTTGACTGAGATGGGTCGCTCTGGAAGGACTGGACAAAGCATAAATATGACGCAGAGGAATGGAGTTGCGCCCAGGAGCCTGCTTTACCTTCCACACGATTCAGACAATCCACTTGATTTTCTGCGAGGTACCTGTAGTTATTGGAAGGAGCCTGGTCTAGGGACAGCGTAGGGTTGGGTGCACTACCAAGATGCTCAGGTACCGGGGTGATGGGGTCTGAGATCACTGTCATGAGCGTGGAATGAATGGAAAGAAAGAAAGAAAGAAAGAAAGAAAGAAAGAAAGAAAGAAAGAAAGAAGCTTGGATAAAATATCAACACTCCTCCCCCATTCAATCTTCACCCATTTTAGGACTAAACCATGATTGATCTGCAAAAGTGGAGAGACGCGCATAGGTGGGAGAGTGGGTCAATGAAGAAGAAGAAAAGAGAACTGGTGGTGGGAGTGGAGAAGAGCAGAAATGCAGCATCAGAGAAAGGAGCTAGGAACCCTGCATCCCCTATAGCTAAGATGGCTGGTGCGTTCACTTAATGCCAGAATATGGACTGGGCCTGGAGGGTGACTTGCCCTATAAGGTACCTCTGATGTTATCCTGGGCCATTAAGGACCTCACTGGAGCTGGCAAATGGGGACGGGAAGATGGATTGGATTTACTGGAAACGAATGTAGAGTTGAAAGCACTTCCTCTGCTTCTGGGCCCAGAGGTTTATTTTGAAGCTCTCTGGCCTGTGTTCAGACTAGACGATCACAATGGTCCCTTCTGGCTCTGGAATCTAGGAATTTGGGAGCTCATTGTTAACATGAACACAGTGCAAATGTGACAACCCACGTGAATCATCAGATGAGTTTGGATTTTCAGCACCACAACACAGACCTTTAGCACTTGACTTAAAGGAGTAGCTTCATTAGCTGGTAGCAGGAATAGGCTGTTATCCTCTAATGGCCTAGCCCTAGCCGGGAGAGCCTGACACACCCTGTGCTAGGATGGGTAACACTACCAGGTGTGTTTATTTCAGCCCCAGAGCCCTCTCACGGAAAGGAGACGATCGCAAAAGAGGGCCTATCAGATAATGAAATAAGCGTCTGAGCTGCAGGATGAGTTTGGCAGGATCCTTTATGCTAATCAGGTTTCAGCTCTCTTTCCTTCCATCGTCCCGACGACATCGCCTCACTCTGGGGTTCGAGCCGTGACATAATCCTTCTAACAACCCCTTTGAAACATCACACCGGGAACAGCAGCATTTGAACAGGACCAAAGCCTGGGGAAAAGGGACTCCTGAGTCCTCGCTAAGCACCTCCGTGGGCGTCCAGCATTCCTCACCCGCTCCCAAGGACTGTGGGTTGGGAGGGCCG